GAAGGAAGGGAGTAAAGTTTTGTTTCTGAACAAGAAGTCAGGTTTGCCATTTTTGCTGTCCCTTCAAGTTCCAATTCTAATATTAAAAGCAAAGCAATAGCTCTGCTAAGCACAGCATCTTTTTCTGAATTTCCATCAGTTTGTTGTTTTCTGCCTCTTTAAGTTGGTAGTTTCATGAAGCCAGAAAGAGACAATTGGTGTCTTTGGAAGTGCTGCTAGATGACAAAAGAGGCTGGATTTCCCAGCAGCACCTGCTTGTTCAGGACAGGTCCCTCTACTCATGCTCATAGTAGAATTGAAAAGCACATAGATGCAGTTGTGGCCATGGGGTGGAGGAAAGGACAGGGTAAACTCCTACACAATGCCAGCAGGCAAATACTGGAGGAGACAGATAAGGAAATGAACAACTCAAAAAGTTCATCATTTAGAATCAACAGAAGAGAAAGTTGTTGTTTTTTTAAGCAAAGAGACTATATTTATTTTTCAAACAACCAGAAACGTTTAAAATAGAAGATGCTTTAAGATCTCCCAGGGCTCATTCAAAGAGCTCCTTTAATGTGTTTTCCTCCAATTGATGAATAGCAGAAAAATTCAATAATATAATTTGCTCTGCTTTGACAGTCAAACTCTAATCTGCCTCAATAACAAGGCAGTGAAACGGCTTTGATGTGGGACCCCTTCCAGCTGCAGTTGAAAGGAGATGTGGATGGGCCCTTGTGGATATTTCTGCTCAGTGAAGGGATCATAGGCTCCATCTCTGAGAGTTAACCAGCCAACCTCCGCTAACTATTTCTAAAGAAGGAAAAGCCACCGCTGAACAGAAATTTCTATTAAATTGCTGTTCCAAAGCAAGCTGACAAAGCGTTAAGATTATTGGCTACATGGATTTTGCTTCTACTGTGCAGATGGGGTATTATGAAAGTGGGGACATGCTGGTAGCACCCCAGTTATCATGCTGAGAATTGCTACCCCTTCTTCCCTCATAATATATTGACAGATGCTCTTCTCTACCTACCATATGCTGGATCCCCTTACAGTGCTGAAGCCTCTCTCTGCTTAAAAAAATAAAATAAAATAAAGTCTAATTGCCCCACAAGTTGTCATCAACAGCTGAAAAATGAATTCCAACTGTTCTGAAGCATGAAATGGTCACTATGCTCTGCATGAGGCTTTGTGCCACCATTTATATGCACGCATTGTGTAGAGAGAGGGGCAGTTTGGTACAGTGGTAAAGGCATCAGGTGAGAAAATGGGAGGCTATGAGGCTTAGGCATAAAGTCATCTGGGTGACCATGGGCCAGTCATTCTGTCAGCCCTAGGAAGGAGATAATGGCAAACCATTTTAAAAAATCCCTTCTCAAGAAAACCTTAGGGACTAGTTGAGGCAGTCATCAGCAGACAAAACAAAACAAAACATCTAATTTCTCCTCCCCAACTACCATAAATTTTCTGAATGATGCTAAATCCTATTGCAGGACATAAAGATTATTCTGACATTTTTCTCCCCTGCAGATAACATTGTGACCGGCTGTAAGCTGTAGGTGTATATCAGTCCAGTATCTGATTGTTTTTTATATAAACAATGCTGCACTTCAGTAATTAGATGGACTAGATATTGATATTTGAACAAAGATCTTTTTAACATTCATATTTTATTGTGTTTTATTAATCTAGGTCAAATATATATATATATATGGAATTCTCACGGGCGTTTCTTTCTCTTGTTTAATAAGATGGCAAAGAGTCTGTGTGTAAATGAATACTCTGTCTTTGTGCAGTCTTTCTCCAGCAGTCAGTTTCCAACATTTCAATTAAATCCCAAAGGAAGACATAGTGAGGGAACTCCTTTGTGGCATCTTCACTCAAAGAAATGTTGACTGCCCCGGACTCTTCAGAATGATAGATGCATTTGAGAAAGCATCAGTGCTACCATCCACCCTAACGTCCTATAAAAAAAGAAAACAAGTTTGAAAACGCAACCATTAGCACAACGAAACAAAATACATCCTCAACTACCATGAGTAAATATAGAGTAGGGGTGAAGGAAAAGGGGAAAGCTCTGAGGCATGCAATACTATCAAATCATACAACACACATTTAAGAAAAAAAAATCTTAATCAAAATAAGGGGATAGAAAAATACAGCAAGTTGGATCCAGCAACATGCTTTCAAATGATAGGAAAATAAAGTTGCAAGTTGTCATCTTGGCATATAAAATGTGGGTTTTAGTTTTACAAATAGTGCTGTCAGTAGGCAGGCTGTGTGAACAAGTGAAGGGGAAATTCGATCCTTCTTTTCCCCAATGTGATCTCTAGGGAGATTCCTTTGAAGCTGATTTTTATTAGAAAAGGAAAAGGAAAAAGTGGATGCTGTTTATGTTTCAAAAGCCAGTAAATGCAGATATACTGTAGTTCTCAAATTATGCAGAATATCCATTGAGGTAAAAGAAAAATATTTGCTGCTTTTTTGAGTTTTTCTTTTGGCTTAGCCTTTGGTTCATCCTTCACCCAACCAGTATCATTCCCTACATTTAGCATAACTTTTTATCTATTTTCCTGATATTCCTTCAGACAGAAGCTTAATCCATCCACTTCCCAATCACCTCTCAAGTTCTGCTCCTATTGGGAAGCATAATTTTTTGGAAAGGTGCATTCAATTTATTGCTTGTTTATGAGTTCACCAGTACAATTGTGCAAATTCAGCTTTTATTAAAGAAGAGGGAGATTGGGAAGAAGTAAGAATTACTCAAGCTTGCCATTGCAGAGAGAAAAAGGTTAGATGAAATGAAAACATGCCAAAATCTATTTAAAAATAGAGAGGAGCTATAATAAACTGGAATTAAAAGTGACAACATGACTTATTAGGATAGTTGCTTACCAAGTGACTGCAGAATGTTATGCTAAAAAGAAGATTCTAACTCCAAGAATAATTACATAAATCAGAAACAAAATATTTGTTACAGAATTTGCAGATATATTTCATACTATTGGAAGGATAAGAAAATATAAATTGGTAGTGATAATGGTGGTGGTAGTAGTGGTGATACTGAATTCAGAACAAATGATGTTAGATCCAGCTAGTTAATTACACTTTAATACCCCTTTCTAACCCTAAGATCCTCAACCTGATATGCATAGTGCCAATGTCCTCATGAACTTATCCTTGATTTCACCTTAATCCACTCATCCCATTCTAACTTCTACAATTCTGAAAACTGGAACATAAGAAGGAAGCTACACTGTGGAAAATTTTTAAAAGTACCAGCATCCAGTACAATATTTTCCCTTAGACCCTTGAATCTTCATCACACATCCCAAAGATGTTATAAAAAATGATGAGAGGCTACCCACAAATGCTCAATAAAAGTGGCCACATGCCACATAACCGGACTTTGATAATGGTGGGAAGAGAACGAAAAGCTTGCTAAAGAGGTTGGCTAGTAGCAGTCCTATCAATTTAACCTCTGGAAGCTTTGCAATTGCCCCCACATACATCTGGCCACCATTTATGGAAGGGGCAAGCCCTCCGTAGGACAGCCATTTTCATTGAGTGCCTACAACATGTTTTCAAAATGTCAGATGTGCCTACTGGCCCTCAAAGGTTGAAAAGCTCTAAGAAAATAATAGAATTTTATAGCATTAATAGAAAAAATCTGAACAAGGTGAACAGGTATGAACAGTCACAAGTAAATTATTGCCTTTTTTGAAACTGATTCTGTCATACCACAGTTTCATTGACCTGAGAAATTGAGGCTGCAACTGTAAACATGCTTACTAAGAAATAGGTTCTACTAAGCTTAATAGAATTTATCCCTGAGTAAACACATTTTAGGTGGATTCATAATTTTTTCACATGCATAGTTGATTATTTGGGGACCAGTGGATACTTTTGGAATTTTAAATATAGGTTGTGGACATGGTGTTTTTCCATTCTTTAAAAAAGGGCATTCATGGACACAGGCATCTGGAGATGATGATGATGATGATGATGATGATGATGATGATGATATGATTGTGATATCATAATGCACACTCACTCATTCATTATTATTTTTTTGTTAATTTGTATTTTGCCTTATTATTTTTGCAAATAACTCAAGGTTACAAGTATATCTAATACATTATCCTCCTCCTATTTTCCCCACAATAACAACCCTGTTGGGATAAGAGAGAATGGCTGACCCAAAGTCACCCAGCTAACTTTGATTGTTAAGGTTAAGGACTTGAACTCATGGTCTCCCACTTTCTAGCTTGTTAACCACTAACCACACTTATGTCCTGACATTGGGCGCAACCACGTAAGACAGAGAGGTTGTGTTGTGATATCATGGCATGATTTATCAGTTGTTGCCTCCTGACCAAACTCTGCAGATATCTATGACTTTTGGATAACCAGTTATAAAACACCAATTTATCAAAATATTACCTGCTAACCCTCTATCCTCATTCTTTTTCTGTATAGCTAGATCATATCCAAAGCACTGAGCTGTAAGTTGCCTATCATTTTTATTTTCTAAGAAAGCTTATGGGATCAACCTGAGGCTCAGAGGCATTCTTAGAATTAAAGATGATGTTGAAGAGTGCCCCATTTTAATTAAAAGAATGTTTTCACGATGTACAAAATTAGATGGGTCAGGAGATCTGACAGATACCGAGGGAAATACCTAGAAGCACATTGATATTTCTATGCAGTGGGCACATTACAAATTAAAACCTGATTTTCAATCAAGTGTGCGAATTACGTCCATTATAAAACCTTAGTTAATAGGAGTTAAGACTTTGATGCTCAGGAGGAACATGTGATGTGGATAGTTACAGTTAGAGTTGTTGGAATGAATGTGTGATATTGTGTCCATATTTCCAAGTCAGCCAAAGAGGTAGCTTTATTTCTGAGAAAATCTGCAAGCAACCATTTCCACAAGGGGTTACAGGCCAACCTGGGTTAATAATTAATGCCCTTCCAGAAATAATTAGCCAAAGGAACTCAGAAGCACTCCTCTCTCCCCCCCTCCGCCATTATCCTGAAGCTATCTGGACAATGCTTAAACCAGGTGAGTCACCTCAACATATAAGCTGGGGCTATTAAGCAGGAAGAGGAATAAAAGCTCTATTAAGATGGAGTATTTAACAAAGAAAATCTATGAGTAAGAGTCAAAATAATGTATTGCAGGATGAAATGTTCCCTTTCAGTTTTTAGGCCACTTCATTCCATTCTGTTCCATTTGAACAGACATCATTTCTTACAGACCAATATGTTCAGACTACATTAAATTGTTTGGGGTATTCTTCCAGCTTCTAGTCCCAAAGATATTTTTTTCGGTTTCTTCAGACCTTGGGGCTTTCCCAAGCTTTCCTTTCATGCAGTCTGAGCATGGATTTAGAAGGAATAATAGATTTGATTAGAGCATATAGAAGCAGCACCTGGTGCCAGCATGCGTATATATGAATGAAGATGGAAATTGGAGACTCAGAGGATGAGTAGAGAATGGGAAACTGAGATATTTTCCCAGAACTTTCTTATCCATCATTTATTAATGGCAACATCAAGTGATGACTTGCATGTCTGAATGAGCAATAAGATTAGAAATTCTGACTCATCTCTCTTGCTTCACAGTGAATCCATTTGCACAAGCAGCCATGAATGACTGAGTAGCTAAACTAATAAGAAATATTTTTGAAGTGGCAAATGTGTACAGCCTCTCTTTATTTCTGAGTGTAGCTTTCTCACACCAGTGCCACTTAAGATACATTGCACTATTGTTTCCATCATACTCAGCCATTAACAGAGGGGCCTTGCAGATCATCTAGTCCAACGCCCTGCCCAAGCAGGAGTCCCTACATCTGCCTTTACCTAGGATCGAACTTACAACCTCCTAATTATGAGACAAGAGCTTTCCATGTTATATGCATGTTAAGATGTTTGCCTCATCTCACAGTTATAGAATTGCAAATACTTGTTTAATACCTGACACTCTCGTCCACAATCCGGTGGAGTCCTTAGTCGCTGCCTGGAATACAGCGGCAGCGGGGGCTCTAAACCGGATTGCACCTTTGCGACCTCTCCGAGGCAGCAGATCCATGAGGGCCCCTTGGTTCACCGAGGAACTCCGGGAGATGAAGCGCCAAAAGAGACGCCTAGAGCGCTGCTGGAGAGCCAGTAAATCTGAGTCAGACCGAGCACTGATGAGAGCCTTTATCAGAGCCTACCTCGTGGCAATACGGGCGGTGAAATGTTAGCATTTTGCCGCCCTTATTGCATCCACTGAATCGCGCCCAGCTGCCTTGTTTAGAATAACCCACTCCCTCTTGAA